TTTTTTAAGGGCTTATGTGTTTAAAGGACCGAAATCAAATATATTGTATTATTTGGGTGTACTTATATAGCAGCCCTTCAATATTCACAGCAGATTGGTTCTAGGACTCCCCAAGGATACCAAAATCTGTGTATGATCAAGTGTCTTATGTTAAATGGTATGGCATTTGCATCTAGTCTACATACATTCTCCCAAATATTTTAAGTAATCTCTACATTACTTATAATACCTAACATACAAATGTAAATGTTGGACAAATAGTTGTTATACAGTATTAGTTTTTTATTTATAATTTTTATTATGCTTCTTTTCCCCAAATATTTTCAATCTGCAGTTGGCTGAATCTAAGAATGTGGAATCCGTTGACCATGAAGGGCTGGCTATATTTTTCAAAAGATCACTGTTTAAAACAAATAAGATTTTAATAATCTTAGGTAGAAATAATCATTAAATATTAAAGTTATGCATACATAGACTAATATTGCAAACAACAATATTGGACTAGCCAACAAGATAAGTGTGGCATTTCCAACTGGCTAACAATGGACAGATTCTACAGAGGATAAAAACAGACTTAAGGGCCAGGAGTGGTAGTTCATGCCTGTAATCCCAGCACTTTGGGAGACCAAGGCAAACAGATCACTTGTGGTTGGGAATTCAAAACTAGCCTGGCCAACATGGCAAAATCCACTCTCTACTAAAACTACAAAAATTAGCCGGGCACAGTGGCATGCGCCTGTAATTCCAGCTACACGGGAGGCTGAGGCAAGAGAATCACTTTAATGCAGGAGGCAGATGTTGTAGTGAGCTGAGGTCATACAACTGCACTCTGGCCTTAGTGACAGTGAGACTCTGTCAAAACAAAAAAAAAAAAAAAAAAAAACATAGAAGAAGTCCAAGCCCTGTCAATTAAAAAATTTACGTTATATCCTTTAACTCACTTTCCCTAACAACTCAAATGGAATCACAGCTCTATCATGGCGTAATAGTACATTTTTCAGTCATAAAAAGCAGTACACAAAAAGAAGATTTATTCTATCAAAAACAATTTGTAAAGACGTAGTCCAAAAAAGTTAATTTTCAGTGTAATTGCTAAAAAACAACAAGCTGTTCATTCTTTATGTCTGTCCCAAGGAGGAACAGTAAACATAGGCTATTAGTTTTTCTCTAAGTTATGTCAAAAGTGTCTCTTAGTAAAGCAGAGTTTTACAACGCAAAGAGAAATGACACACTACCAAGGAGAGACATATAATAGGAAGAAAAAGAAATCTAATGTGTCCTTAGTATTTAAAAAAAAAAAAAAAATGAGGCAATTCTGTAGTGTGATATCTATAGATGTCACGGTATAGCAGTGTGTATCACAGAATTTGTAGATATAAAAACCAGGATATAAATCTTGGCTCTACCATTTACTGGCTATGGGACTTCAAAAAATTGCTTAACATCTCTGGGCCCTAGTTACCTCATCAGTAAAACGGCATTTACTTATAATTACTTCATATAGCTTTAAAAATAAAATACAGAAAATTTAGGAGACTACATTAACACATACAAACATCTGCTTTCTCATGACATGCTCTAAATCTTGGTGACAGAGATGTTTAATGGAAATAAAGATTATACTGAACCTCAGCCCAAATGCCCAGATCTAGATAATTATTCTAGTGTTTCAAAGTAAATGAGGTTGAAATCGAGTTATTAGAGATAGGTCCATGCTTATGTAGATGAGTTAAGCATTTAGACCAAGACTGGTTTAAGAAAAACATCAATACTTACTATGGCAGAAACTACTAACTGTCTTACAATATCTTTTCTTCCCATTAGTACCAGAACCCTGTGAGTTTTCACCCGGCACATGGCTACTCCCTAAAAACTATCTGATCCAGCCTCCTCACAGCTAGATGTGACCATGTGATTAAGTTCTGGCCAATGAGTTGTATGAAATTCCCAGACCATGCACTTGAAAAGTAGCTGTCTACTCTTAACTTCCTCTTTCCTGCTTCCAGTGAGGTAGAATCCAGTCAAGATGGTAATAAACCATCTTTGACTGTGTAGGAGAGTGCAACAAACTAAAGAAAAGTGAAGCAAGAAGAAGGGAACTTTAATCCCGGAACCAAATTCCCCTCAGTATCCAGTCAGCCTGGAATCGTATATTAGAGTGAATTCAACTTCTTCCTCGTTTAAGCAACTCGTTATTTGGTTTTTTTAAACCAGTCAAAATAGTAACCTAATTAATACATAGGTTGACATGGAATATACCTTCAACCTGCTTAGAGAAAGGGAGCTTTCAAAATCCTACTCCCAATGGAAAACTGAAAGAGAAAAACAGGTTTTTGAATATTTACCATGAAATAAGCACATGTACTTTTTTATATACTAGCTCTTTAACCTTCACCACTACCACAGGAGGTGGGTTCTACCATTTTAATGACAATTTTATGGATAGAAAACTGAAAACCAGAAAGGTTAAGTTGCTGAACCAAGACCTATATCCAGTACGTAAGTTCCATCTTCCGTAACCACTACCTGACTGTCATCAGATTCATTTAAGGAGGCTTCTACATAGAGGTTACTAAAGCCCAACTCTGCAAATTCTGATTCAGCAGATCTAAGGCAAGGGCCTTAAATGCAAATGTCTTGAGAAGCAGTAACAGGCAATGGAGGTGAGTGAAGGAGACCTAAAAGATGCTAGAAAAATATAAGACAAAAATGAATGATGAGGGGCAGTTAGTAAATGGTGGGGCCTGTGAGAACTTAGAGCCTATGGCAAACTGGAATGCCCCATAAAGGCATTCAAATTCAAGGCTGTCCTTTTTAACCCTATTTCTAACCAACAAAATGCACCTATGGATTAAGTCTAGCTTCTGGGCTTCTAGATGGCATGATTTGGTCTAGAATCTTAAAATACTTTTTTTTTTTTTTTTAAACAAAACTCCCTGGGTAAAACTGACATAGCAGATCAAAGTTATATAAACTGAAAGAAGACACTTCCGTCTTGTACATTCAGAACCACCTCCCACTTGTAAAAACAGTATATTTGAAGATATATGCTTTATTGGTATCTTAATAATAAAATCAATGTGTCTACTAAAACCAGATACAATAATAACTTAATGGCCTATCAAACTTACCTTTTCAATTATGAACTATCAATATTCTTATTCACCCCACAGATATTTTCATTCAAATTCAGAATGAAACTTTGAACTTCTGGGGTCAGCATACTCCTGCCTCAACCTCCTGAGCAGTTAGGACTATAGGCACACACCACCACATCTGGGTAATTTTTACATTCTTTGTAGAGATGAGGTCTTGCTATGTTGCCCAGGCTCATCTCAAAATCCTGGCCTCAAGAGATCCTCCTTGGCTGGGCCTCTCAAAGTATTGGGATTACAGGTATGTGCCACTGCACCTGGTTTTATGTTGTTTCAAATATAATTTTCTATGTAACAGAGTATAGCAATGTCCAATAGTACCAAATTATACCTTAATAACAGAAGAAACCACCATATGGCTTACTTGGACTATAAGCAACTTCAGACTATATAATGTAAAACAGTAACATAAGTTTTAGTCAGCATAACTGAGCCTATGCAATAGCTCAGTTTTTTGTTTTTTTTTTTTAATTTATTTATTTAAACTTTTTAAAGGTAGGGTCTCTCTCTGTTCCCCAGGCTGAGTGCAGTGGTAAGAACATAGCTCAATGCAGCCTCGAATTCCCGGGTATATGTGATCCTCCTGCCTCAGCCTCTCCAGTAGCTGAGACTACAAGCACCATCACATCCAGCTAAT